AGTGCTATAATCGTTCACTATTTAATTGCTTTTCGATTGTGCCAGCTAACATGATATATACGACTGGTTTGTTCTATTCGCTACTCTCCAAGGTTTGACGAATCGAAGCCAGCTCATATTTTAGTGACTATATGTATTAACACCAAACACACATTTTCATCTTTTTTCCATCCTCAACTCACGGTCCTTGGCAAACAACGCATTGTAAAAAATTCAACTTTATGGGTAGGAGGGTTGAGTTATTGTGATTTGCTTCATTTCAAATGTAGAGTTAACAGGATTTTAAGCTAATGTTCTCTAGCAATATTAACAAGTTTGCAGAAGTTTTAATACTGTTTAATGGAGCTCATGGGTTTAAGCCCTACCTTCCACTGTATATGTTTACTAAAAAGCACAAACCTTTCTGCCTTAAATACGAAGGCCTCAGCACCGAAAACATCATAGAGACTTAATTTTAATTCATAAAATGCTCAATAATTTCTATTAACACGTGCTAGCACACGCATGTCGAATAACTATAAAATTTGTAGGTTAATTTATTTTTCAAACTACATCTCTGTTTAATTTAATTTTATGTTTTTGCGAATATTGACGTGAAAGGAGCCGCAGTTGATTGGCTTTCCGCTGTTGGTGAACTGCAAATTGCTGTGCGTGAGAAGTTGTTGATGGATTTTATTGCATTTACACGCGCTGACTGAATGGCAAGCACTCAAAAGTTTCAAGAATATTTAGAAAGAAAAAGGAAAAGGAAGAGTTGGTGAGAAATGGGGGGAAAAACTTAAAATTAACGAAACGTAGTTAACGCGAAAACGAAAGAAGGAAAAGAGAGTAAAATGAAATTGTTGTAGTTGTTGTTCTGGTTGCATTGGAAGTGCAAAATAACTTAAGCAGCGGAAAAATTAAACAAAACAAAGAAGTGCAAAAACGAACACCCAGCAATCGAACTCTTGGGGAAAAAATCAATAAGCGCGCCACTGCGATCTGCGTCCGCCTCGGCCGCGGAGCATGCCACGCGCGCCGTGCAGCTGTTTTCTGCATTTTGAGCAAAAATTAATTTGTTGCTTATTTCAATCGAATTAAATGCTTTTCAACTTAATGTGAAATTAAAAGCCAACAACAGCTACACGCACAAATGCCTTACGCACACTTAGACACAGGCACACACATACATACGAGTACATTTATACACGCCTACAAGGCGTCTTAATTGAGTTTGCTGACCAAGTAATGGGTGTCTTGCTCTCGTCACTGTTAGTTTAGGCCACTTCAGACGTATTTGCGCAATTTCCACTTTTACATACTTAACGGTACAAGCTCCTTACCATTGCTTTGTGTTTTATTGTATGCTGTTTTCGGCGTTTCTTCCATAATTTAGCACTTTAATTTTGATTTTCGATTGTTTAGACACATTTTATTTTTTATTTTTCCCCCAAATTTCGCCCACTTGAGGTTCCCTTGAAAACAGACACACTCTTTCACTTGTTTACTTTAGTTGTCCAGAAGAAAATTGCAAGCCGATTTCAATTTAAACGAATTGTTATCGCTAGGCCATGGCCCACGCGTCGCTTCTGCAGAATTTTCAAATTAATTTTCATTCAAGATTTTCGCATTTTCACCAGCGTTTGTTTGGTAATGGCCAACGCGTTCACTGTCATTATTAAATGTACATAAACTGAACATTAATGTAAACAAAACAAGTGCAATGCCACGCCGGCATTGTTGTAGTTGTTTAGCGACGCGAAGCACCACCGTTCAATACAAATTCACACCAACATAGCCACAAACACGCAAAAGTGGAAAATGTGACTGCGTTAGAAAAGGTGGCAAGTTTGCTGTTTTGTTGACGGTAAACTCTGGGTCTGTGCTCATGACAACCACAATTTTAAGTAAGGCATTAATTTGGTTTAAATAATAAGTAATAATTCGTGGTAAAATTCAATTACATTATTTTTGTATAATTTTTAATCTACAATAAATGTCTTGACCTATTCAAGGCTGTATTAAATAAACATTGTCGAAACTTCAAAGCACAAAACGTATTTAAAAGTAATTTATTTCACGTACGCCTGAAAGTATGCCACAATAATTATGCTACCATACAGTAGTGGCAATAATTATTTGCCATTTTCGCACATAATAAGCTCTAACCCATTCAACAAAACTAGCGAAAGGGCGAATCTAACAAACAAGTAGTTTAAATCAAGCAGAATTATTTTAATAAGTATAGAAATTCACATAATTTATTGTAATATATTCAACTTGACAACTTTGAGTAAAAAGGGAAGTTGATAGTCTATCTAAGTGATTAAGATGTTCTTGGTTATAAATTATTTAAACACCAAAACTTCACAATAACCGAATATGTCATATTTTCGTTGTTCAAATTCAACAAAATTTTTTTTTATTTTTTTTTCTATTATTATAATCATATTTATATATCTGATTATTTCAAAAAAATTTAAATTATGTTTTAGTTTCGTGTATTCGGTCTATAACTGTATTCAGTGTATTACAGCTTGCTAAGAGCTGGCGTAACTTGATTATCATTCCATTTATCCATTCCATATTCCGATCATGCATTGGAAAGCTGTGGCCTTGTGTGTCTTTTTCAATATAATGTATTATTCATTTGAAGCGTAAATTACAATAATTTTTTCACTCAAAAATTTAGTGCCTGAAAATTGTTTTTGCGGCAAGTTTTTTTCATCACTTTAATGTGAAGAAAAACTCAACGGAAAGTCATTGTTTTTTGGTAAAAGTTTATGTTAGACATGTCCTAGCTGAGAGAAAATGCCAAAAGTGATTTGAGCGATTTAAAAGTGGTGATATCTGGGCGACCAAAGTATTTACAGATGTGGAACTGAAAGCCTTACTCGCTGCAGGGTGCAGGCTGCAGCCATTTCAAAACGTTTAAAAGTTGCCGAATACATTCAAGAGTAATAAAATTGTGTGCCATACGAAGAAACATGAATTCATCACTATCTCTTAATTAGACTTAGTTCGAAACGACATCACTGGAGCACAAAAATTTGTTTGGCTTTGGAGTCGCAAGACCTTCTCTTTTATAGTTTTTGGGTTGCTATGTTAAAGCGATGTGGCAGATTTTTATTGTAATTGGTATTATCATAGAAATATATAAATTCCACTACAAATTAAACTAAATAAACTCTATTATCGCCTCGTCTTGCTAACAACTTCCCAAAGTATTATTAGCCAAACCATTGCAGTCGGCCGCATTTGTTTGGGTAAACGCTGAAGGGAACACAAAGAAATTTTATATTTTATTAACCGTACTTTTTTTAAATTTCATAAGACTTACGAATGAAGCGACGGCAGTTCGCCATTTCCATTGTGCATAGGTTTATAAAAGTACGACACCGTCCAAATGGACCTCGTGCGCAAATTCTCTGGTCCACTACGCAGTCGTAGTTTGTTATAACACATCTGCGAAAACCGAGAGCCAAAGACAACCAAAGTGCGAGCACCAAACCGAATGTGACGTAGATTTTCATGGTCGCTAAAACTTTTTATGGTAACTGAGTGATACGTCGCGGGTTTTTATAGTGCCGCGTTATGCGGATTTAAGTCGTCAATTGTTACAAACATTTATTTTTAAAGAAATATAATAGAAGTAGGCTTAGGAACCTGGGTACACTACTTGAGAAAACTAATGGTACAAAAATTTCAATTTGAACTAAAGCATTTTCCGGAGCTAAAGAAGCAGATTTCTAATAACCATCGAGACGTATTGGAATTTTAAATTTTTACTAAAGTATTAGCTTACGAGGATTTTTAAAAACATAGAATGTGGCAATCTTAATTGAAACAAAAAAAAAACGTCAACTTCGGCTGCACCGAACCTATAATAATACCTTTCACAAATACAAAATATTCCTTAATAGTGCCTTTCAAGTGCGCCACCTTATTACTAAAAATTGTCCAAATCGGACTAAAACTTTTCAACCCCCCAGATACCATACATGTAGACCCTTGTTACTAAAGATATATATTATTGAAATTCGAGGACAATCCTTTTCTGATAATAATATGTCTTTATGTCAAAAATGCTTTGTATCGGGTCAATAATTCCTTTAGTCCCCATATACCCTGTAGAAAGATTTTCGAACTACCGGCTGACTTTGAATCACATATATCGACAAATAAGTAAGATAACTTAGCAAAATTGACTGATCGTGAAATATTATATATACTATAGTTTAGTGCTGAAAATTTGTAAAATTGGTTCACAAATTACCCAAACTACCATATACTACATATATTGATTTTCGTTGTTCTAACAAACCTTATGTATCTGAAGGCATTTCTCTGGCTTTGTTCCTGGCAAATTGCAATAGAAACGTTCGGTTATACCTGAACTTAGATCTTCCTTGCTTATTAGTGCTTCCGTTCTACAGAAAGCAGCGAGTCGCTGCATGAGATTTTGCTTGCAGCTGTGCACCACACTAAAGCACCGTAAAATAAGAATCGCTTGACAACTGCTGTGTAACTTCAATACATAAGGGCAGGTGATAGGCCCCAAGTTGACCTTAGCATCTTCTTACATGTGTAGAGGGTACCACTGGTCTTTTTCACCCTCTCTTCCACATTGAGTTTATACGTCAGTTTGTTGTCGAAAATTACTCTCCGGTACTCGGTATGGTCCTCAGTAGTTAACTCTTCCCCGTTGAGCCTCGGGGGTTTATATAATATAATGCGATCTTGTTCCTCCTTGTAAAGACTACCATATCCATCTTACCGGCATTTACCTCTAGCTAAGCCGATATTGTTCATTGGTGTTTGACTTTTAGAACGCTATTCATCACGCTACTAATTATGTCTTAGAACTTGCTCGCCACTAGTATAGGTATGTCTTCTGCATAGGCTATTAGTTTGATTCAAAATAGTAAAATGAATTAAATTTTGTTTCCTTGCTTTTTGCTGGCAGTGTGAGATTGACCTAATTGCGTTAGCGTTTTAGCTTTACTTATGGCCAAAAGACATTTGTGTAAACATTTATTTATTTTTATTAAAAATGTAGGTAACTAATAAACATCAAACTAGGGGTAATTCACAAAAATAAATAAATTTCAATTAACATGGAATATTTGACGAAAAAAGTAAGTGCATAAAAATATATCAAAATTTCAACACAAAATTTAGTCTCTAAGAAGAATTGGCTGTCCATTGACCACACTACCGAAACCACTGACACCACCGACACCACCGACACCACCGACACCACTGACACCACCGACACCACCGACACCACCGGTACCACTGTTACCACCAGTTTGTCTAAGGCAAAAACCTCTTACGCCGTTACTCAACTGGCTGCAAAGGGACGAATTTACCACGGTGTATTCTGAATGAAAAAGAAGAAAACATATTTATAAACAATATTTTTCTAATTCCTCAAAATAATTGAATACTTACGCGCTGTGTGCTGACAATTAGCGGATTGCAGAGCACAGTAGTTACTAAAACTCTGACACAAATTCGATTGGCCGAAGCGTGCGCAAACGTTTTTCTGGCGCCTACAATTGCGCATATCCAGGACACAAACCTGCGCAGTGTAGGCGAATGAAAGAAGCGCGACGAAAATGCCCAATGCTAAAAGTTGGCAACGCATCTGTACTTTTTTTTTAATATTAAACGATTTGTATAGCGAAATAATTTAAAAACTTAAAAACCACTCTGATGTTATGACTTCAGCCAACTTTTTTCGCAACTATTGCTATTTCTGGCGCATTCGCTTTTATAGGTAAAATGTGGCCTTGTGCTATACCAAAATATCTATGTTTTTCTACTGAAATGTTAATATTATTGTTTGCAATTTTTACGTATGGCAATTTTCCCCTTTTCGCACAATTTCGCAAATATTTTTGTTTGGCAAATTAAATTTGCAAAATCAAGGTAACGTAAATTAGAATGAACGCAACAATATTATAAAAACCTAAAATTCCGTCACAGAGTTCGTTGTCTTATATAAATGTACTGTTAGTCACGCCTCAACACCTGTTTCAATATAAAAGATTAGCTACATACGAGTATGTGTTTATTTGTTTTCGAGAGTTTGCGAAGTGAACCAAATTTTGTTAGAGTTTCTTGCGTCGTTTAAATGAGTAAAAATTTAATTGTGGATTTCCATAGGAGGGATCTAAATGTAATCTCTTAAAAATTTGTGTTCCTTTCTGCATAAAATTTGAAAACTTTAAAACTCAAAGCATAATCTTTATAATTCGATTTTGTGTCTTACAAAATTTTTATATATTTAGATTTGACGTTCTTCCTCGTAAACGCGGACTGCGTATATGCATAATAAGTAGATCTAACTCACTGATGGAAAAAAAGTACTGTTTCATACGAACTTAGGACAGGCACTTCCTCCAACGGGTCAATCATCTCGGGCTTTTCTGTGTAGACAAGCGAGTTCACATTACCGCACAAAACATTCTCCAGCAGTGTTAAATCGCTTCGTTTCCTTCAATAAATTGATTTTTTCGTTTGCTGTATGGCATGGAGCGCCGTCATGTTGGAGCCAAAGTTCGTTCACCCCATATTCATTCACGAAAAAGTCATTAATCAAGGCTCTATAGCGTTCTCCCAAGACTTTGAAAAAATATGGATAAATGATTCCCTCCGCCCATAGATCACATCAACCAGTAAATTTTTGAGGATATAAGGGCGTCTCAAACCAAAAGTGAGCTTAATCGCTAAACACACTTTTTTCATTGATGATCTTTCAGCTTCAACTTTTGCACGAGTTGGATTTTGTAAGCCCGCAAACCAAAATCGTTCCGCTAAATTTTTAATTTTAAAATTAATGGACTCGTTCGGGTCTTCTTCGATACTCTGCTCCACAGCAGCAATAGCGTCCACGGGGCGCACTGTACGGCGATTCTGAGGTTACGCAGTATCCACTAGAGTAAGTGTGGTGCATAATCGATCCATGATTTCACGAATTACGGACCCTGCTGTGTGATTATCTCGACCGAATATTGGACGCAGCGCGACAAACGCCTTAAAGATGTGATAATGGCAAAAGACAAGCACATAAAATATTAAAGTAAAGATATTTGTAGCGGACTAAAGGTTGAGTGTAGATCTTTCCAAATTTTATTATTAGTTTTATATTGCTCAAATGCATTTTACCCTTTAAAATCATTTTTTTATTTGGAATCGAAATATATACATTTACATAGGTCTAAATTTTTATACACTGGATAGAAAACAAAAATTCCCGTCTGTGCCACCGGCATATCTGCTTAGCTTGTCCGATAGCATATGGTGGATTATTGATATTCGTTATTATGATTCTATCTTACTATTAGAAAATCTATCTTTTGAGCCTACCACTGTTGTCTGCTCTGCTGTTTGCAGATGCTCTTTTGCTAAAATTTTTAAAAGTTGTTCTATAAAGAAGACTGTCAGAGGCAGCCACGTTGTTTTCAATATGGTCTTAAAATACAATGTATGCGAACTAAAATTAATATATTTTTTCTCTAACAGGCTCATTAAAGGATCCCTCAAAGGATCCAGAAATACCAAAATATTATATTTGAAACCATTTGGAAAAAATTGAATCGCAAGGTATACAAAAGCTCCATCGGCAGCAATTTTTCATAAAGCACACAGTCTTTTGTTGCTAGAAAGAACTAATAAAAGCGGCTAACATTTCTCAAATTCCACTACTTTTGTAAATTTCAAAGCACAAATAGTTTGGATATTTGACACCGTTGTCGCCGCGCTTTCGCCCAGTTTCCACTGAGTGCGCTAAAAGCATTTCATTTATTTCTTGAACGCGTCCATTTGACATGCATTTCCTAACCGTCTACTTCCGCCCAACACAATGCCTGATTCATTCATATGCCTGTGCCCCTTCGCATGCATAACCCACTCGCTGCACACTCCGGTTACACTTCTCCTTGTTGTTGTTGCTGCAGAATTTGTCGCTAAATGGTCATGGCTTGAAAAAGTGAACGCCATCAGCTGAGCCATCAGATTTATGCTGAGTGAGCACAAGTGCGCCCAAGAACAGTGGCTGCTGCTGCTGCAGTTGCTGCCGTTGGATGATCAGCTAGTTAAAATAACAACAATAATGCCGTTTTAGAATTCGAGTATAATTTTTTACATCCTGTTGTGCTAGCGTATTTCGTTATGGGCGCCAGTATGAATTTCGCAGGCGGCACCAAAGTGCTGCCATCTCGCACAAAACGTGGGAAACTCTATAACTCTATATGTATATATATACAAGTGTGTGTGTAATGCCACGTTGGCCAAGTGAAAATGAGCGAAATGTGTTAAAAAGTGCCAATTTCAGCTGTAGCACTGATTTTCGACGGCCTTCTTGCCTTGCCGCTCGGTCTTAGCGACGAGCAGCTGCGCTGTGTCGTTGAAAATTTCTCGCTAAAGCGAAAATAAGTGAAATTTTTTGGAAGAGTTTCATTTACTTTTTGAGACTTTTTTGTGCCTTTGCCACATTCCCGACTAGCTGCTAGCTGGCTGTCTGCTTGGCATTGCTCGAATTGTCTTCTGGGTAATTTTTCATGGTGATTTGCTTTGGCTGTCTTTGAGTGAGGCGAAGTAAACATCAAGCAAGGGCGCCGGGCAAGGCTGAGCGTAAGCCTGATGAGCGCGCAAGACGGCAGCGAAACAGCAGCACTTTGACGAAATATCATGTGCGGAAATTGAAGAAATTTCGAATATGTTTGTGTATGTAAGTGCAGTGCATGGAAGTTAGGTGTTTCCGCTTGAAGTTTGTAGCTGCTTATGCTACGTGATCCATGGTATTTTTCAGCGCAGACATATTGCGTTACAGTGGCAAAGTAAATGGCAATAATAAATTTTTAGTGCGCCCAGCAGCCGAATACAGAAACACAAGTATTCAATTCAAGTCAAATTGAGTTGGAAAGTGTTTTGTCCAAAAAAAAAAAAAATATGCACCAAATTTCAAGCGTTATACGCTGCAAAGCACCATAAGCAAAAAAGAGTTCAAATAAATTAAAATCAAAATTCTATTGTTTTTTGTTTAAGACTTTTCGTTTTTTTTTTTCTGAAAAGTAAAAATTTGAACTTTTTTTAACTTCGAGTATCCTCCATCACTTTATTGAACCAACCGAAGCTTAAACGACTTTAATCTTGTTCTCAGACGCCTTTTCGGTATTTTTCTTTCTTGTAATTGACAGCTGCCACAGTGACGGTCCGTTATTTCGCTCACTCCCGACCACATTGGCGTTGTTATAAGTTCTCAAAGCTCATCATTCCATCTTAGTCGAGAAGAAACTTTTAAAGAAAAAGATAAAAATCTTACGCGGAAGCCTTCTCTAGCAACCATACATACATTTCAATGTATTTTGTCATCAGTTACGGATCTAAATCAGGCAAGTTGTAGACATTTGTTACCATAATTATGGTTCGGTTCGCGCGCTGTGTCCAATATTCGGCCGACATAATCGCCAAGCAGAGTCTGTAATTCTTGCAATCATGAATTGGTTTCGCACCACGCTTACTCTCCTCCTTACCGTATCAAGTATCACGGAGAGTTTGTTCCCAATTCCACTTAAGCCGCTGATGTTGCAACCTAAGACAGCCCCATAAGCTTAAAAATAATACTAAATTCAAACATAGCATCTTATAAATATATACCTTTTATCAACTACTCTCCTTTATCTGCTTCTCACTCGTTCCCCTAACAAAACCCGTCATGCACGCGGATTTTTATCTGGCAAAAGCCCATCAACTCGAAAGCATTTTTAAAAATTACTTCTGTTGCTACAAAAACAATATATTACATATACTTGTATGCTTCATCGTATCTCCTTCAGGCTTCAACTGATTAGACAACAAACTACATAATACCTTGTATGCGATATTTACTAGACAAACTATACTGTAGTTGGGGCAGTTTTTCTGCTCAATCTTCTTTTGGATTGGATTTCAATCGGTAACATGGTTTAATTGTACCATATTTTGGTTAGTAGTTGATACACGTTCTCTAATAATTTGTCACCACCGCGTTTGAATAGTTCAGTCGGCACCCGAAATGTTGTTGATGTTCAGCCGTGATACCGGCTGAACAATCTTAGTTGGATTGCGATAAGCTAATTTCATGGTCTTTACTTGGAGATTAGAGTTCTTCATCTCTTTTATAATATATATATTACTGTTACCCTAGTAGCTTATTTGTTTTTAAAACTTACTTACTTATTTGTTTTTAAAAGTATTTAACTTAATCCCCCTATCTTTCTGTCATTCGCCGTTTCTTTATTAGATTTTTTTGGATACTCTTCTTAAAGGGCTAAATCTAAAGATCCTCACACCCACTCGCTATCTTGAACTGTCTTTTTACTTTGTTAGCCAGAAACGGCTCTCTACTAATTTAAGCTCGGAAAAGCTTTGAATTTACATAATCCTTTCTGTCCGCCAATATCTCAAGCTATTCTTACTCTCGGCCTCGCTTCAAATATGTCTCTCTTTTTCCTTTTTGGTAACTCTCTAAGTATTTGTATTACATTCGATCATAGTGAAGCTATATAGATAACGTGGTTTCTTTCTAAACTTGCCTACATCCCAATAGTTCATCAACGGCAGATGATACAGTATAAATATTTATAACTAATTTCATTTTTTCCTTAAATTTTCTCGTAACCATTAATGCAATTTGCATTCGTTCCAAATCATTTTGCACGTAATTTTTCTTTTGTCACTTTCGCATTTGAAATATACACCATTTCCTGCGGTCCACTAAGAGAAACTTTTAATTCTCACCATATCCGACGTGTTATTGTTGTTTATAGCAATTCAGCAGCGATTGTGTTTATCCTCGGTTGTCCGATGGCCAAGTTGTCAGTTGTGTTGCAAATTGCATCACTTGTCGGATGTGCACATTATGCTGGCAGCCAGCGTTTCTATTAGTTTTACTTTCATAGTTTTTGGCCAAACCACACAGTGTCTTAAAAGACTCTGCACTTTTACATAGCGGATTAATGAGAATTTAATGGCATTTGGCACGAAATATGAAAATGTCTAATTTCTGTAAATATCATTTTCCCTTCGCATTTGGGTCACAAAATTAATGGAAGAAAGTTGAAGAAAATAATAAAAATTGTAAAAATTTCATTTAAGCTTAGAATCCAATTACTGAATAATTTTTAGTGAAGTTTTCAATACAGAAAGTAAATATATGAGAAACTGTACCCTGCTCTCTTAAAATCTTCTTATTTTCTAAACAGATCAGACCGGTTGCAACTTACGAGTAGGACTTTTAACTGTTTTCTTCGAGAATAGTGAACAATTTTCATGTATATATCTTAAAAGAGGTATAGGTTTACAAATTTTGTGACACTATAGCCTCTGCACTTAAATAATTTTATGATCGTGACAGCGACTGCGGCTTACAGTTAAATCTAGGGTTCAGGAAAAAGCATTTGCTCTCGATTTTTTATTAACGATTCAATAAGAAATATTTGAATTTATCTGATGAAATGTGCCTCGAGGGAGTCTAAGGTGATCCACTATAAGGTGTGGCCAAAGAGCTAGTCTTTTACTTCAAGAAAAGTTTTTAAAGAAAATCGTCATTGCTTATGGCCTCTTACCTCTGGTACTCCATATTTAGCTTCTAAATGGCTTTGCCATTCAGTTTTTGAAGTCATAAGCTGAATAGCAGCGGAAAGTCAAAGCACCTGAGAAATCTGGCTAAAGTATTTTTTTCTGCATAAAAGTTGTCCATTAGAAGTAGGCTGTACCTCAAAACGTTGGGTGAAAACTTCAGTTGAACTCTGCTGTCAGACGAAAGGTCTCAGTCTCAAGTGGGAGATAAAGCAATAATATGGAAGCAGCATTTCTTCTTACTCAACAAGCTATCCACATTATTAGGGAATCTAAGATTTACATTCTTTAATTTTTCATTCATTGACTTTTTATTACATCTCAGTCCAGTATGTAGATGACAGCTATTGAGAGTACAATGGGGGTCATTAATGGGAATGTCTCAGAAGTAGGTCTTTCAAAAGAGGTTGGAACAAGCGGTTTGATACTTGTAGATTAAAGCATACAAGGAATGATTAATGTTTACAACTGTTTCATTGAATGCAGAATATGCGACGAATATCTAATCCTTGCTTTTGTTGTAGGCATGTTCGGATCGAGTTAAGTTTTTTTATTTTGGGTTATGTTTTTCGCTGGATATATGCAAAATTTATAGTGGATATGGTATTTACGATATATATGTATGGATGCTTACACAGTCCGCTGCCGGGAATTATTCTAATTGTGTAGCAATCTAGCATTTTTCTATCTTCTTTGTCTACTTTCTACTAGTCCGGGTCATCATTTCGGACTCCTTTACTAATCGGATGGAATAACGATAATTTCAGCGATGCTTCCTTTCTTTCCGAGAAGAATTTTGTTATAGTATGGTTCTTTGGTCGTGAGAAAGATTCCCCTTCGAGGATAGAATTTCCTTTGAATTATGGTTGGAGTTTCAGCATCATAAAACCTGTGGATTTAGTATGAGATAGGCTTGCGATTATAAGGCAATAATAAATTAAAATATTTACGGAAATATTTATTTTATTCCTTGAAATACCTTCCGTCTCTTATTATTCTGACCTTTAATGTTGTGTAATGTGATATGTAATCGAGAAATCAACCCTGGCCGCTGCTGGGTTGTGTTTTTTGAGAAGTAAAAATTTTGACAGAAAACAAGAAAAAAACATTAACTTTGCTGCACCGAAACCTTAGTACCCTTCACAGGTTGAATTTTTCTTACAAGAACTTGATTTTCTGATAAATAAGAGACCCAAATTACTCTTTACATTATTATTTATAGTCAAAACTACTTTAAAGTTTTCCTCACAAACTCAACCAAACATTTCTCTTTCAGATGGCCTGCAACCGGTACTTCAAATCGTGCAACGGATTGTAAAGGGAATCACGACATTTCCAATACCGAACATTTAAGTCCACAGTAATGCCAACAAACGACATACAACTGCTGAGTTCAACAGCAACAACAACACCAAATGAAAGGCTTGTAACGGGCCGAGCTGACAGTCGACATTAACTGTAAATACCGAAACACTCAAGGCAATTGTTTCGGAAGATACGCTAAAGAGCGGCTTCAAAGTGATCATTGGCCGCGGTACAAAGCAGGTGCCCTACAACATAGTAAACCGTGCCGTTATGTGTATGTGGCAACAAACGGATACAATACCAACGACAACATAATCATTGTGAATGTCAAACAGAGATATCAATTGCAAGTCGAGAGTTGCCAGTCGTATAACAATTATTGCGAAGTCGCGTGGGCTTTCCGCACTTAAACGTTGCTCGGAGCAAGTACAGCTAAACCAACACCAACAAGTAACAACAACGAAAACAACAAATCTTAGCGAGTCACCATAGCAGCGCGATGAGTGTGGACGTGGCAATAAGCAGGCAGTATAGTGAAATCACTACAACAACATCATCCTCAACTACAAAAACAACAGATAAAGACACAGTTGCAACCAAAGCAACGCAATCGTCGGCATGGACAGCGCTTCGCTGGCCGATTGGTTTATGCGAAATCGGCGAATCTACGACAGCAACAACAACAACAAATTGCATGGCTACAACAAAAGCTTTACAGTCAAAGCGAGTTGATAGCAACACTTGCCGACAGCAATGTGATGAAGATGACCACAACAACAACAAAAACAGCAAAAACAAGAGCAAAGACATGAATATCCCCTCAGCGCAACGAGCAGCAAGCCAAAAGCGAAGGCGAATACAGCAACACATACAGTTAGGCCAACACTGTGGCATCCACATGCAACGCCGGCAACAGCAACAATCCCAACAACAACATTGGCGGCATTATCTGCTGCAGCCACTACAACGATGCGCATTCTCCAAAGACGATGATGCCTGTTGGAGCGCCAGCTTTTCCACGATTCTAAAGCAACAACAACAATGGCTGCGCGTTTGCCTTGTGCTCGTCATTTGCCTGTCACTGCCCTCAGCAACGAATACAAAACCTCAGACCTCAGCAACAGCGCCAACGACACTTGTCACGGAACCAACATTGAGAGCTACACTAACAACAACAGAAATAGTAATAGCAACATCAAAGCCAGCAGCCACAATCAGCCAAACGGCGCAGTCGCCATCTCCACCGCCGCCGCCGTCGGCAACTGAGAGTGATGACAACATTGTGACCAACGAAACTACCAACTTCACGTACACGCACAACACCACAAACAACGCTATCGGAAATGTCATCATTCCCTCAACCAAGCTCAGCGTAAATTCAACGACCGCATCAAAAGCTCTGGTGCAGACGTTGGCGGCGCTCACGGTGGGTGCGTTGACAGTGTCAACAGCATTGCCGGCGGCTACGCAAACATTCACATCCTCATCGCTGTCATCAGCAGCAGCAACAACAGCACGGCAAACACACGACACAACTAGAGCGGCAACAACAATGTTTGACTACGCCGTCAATGCGTTGGCGGAAGCGGAGGGCAGCGGAGATGACAAGCCCGATACGCAAACGGCATGGAATGCGCACTTCGTCAATGGCATGCTGCATGACATTGAAACAACAACAACGTCAAATGAATCACCAACAGCTAAATATCACGGCAGCAACAATAATATCATTCGCAATGCGCCCAGTGGGAGCAACACTTTGTGTAGCATGCAGCAACACAGTCCCATAAATGCTAACACCGACACCAGCAACAACAACTACGCAAGCGTAGACGCAGGCTTGAGCAGGATTCGTCACCATCGCGTTACACGTTCCGTGGGCCATGGCAGCCCTGGCAGTGTAGGCTTAAGCGGCAGCAGTTTTGGTGCTGTAAGTCAAGGTGTTAGTAGTGGCAGCGGGTTGACGGGGAGCGGTAGCAGTGGCGTTGTTAGCCTCTCGAATACGCACGATGGCGAAAGTAATAATCATAACAGTATCGAATGTCCTAGTTTCGATGAGAATTCGGCGTGTCCATGCTACAAATTCGAAGACGGTGAGTTTCATTTGTTTTCTACATTGCAGATCCAAATGATGGCTTATTTAAAGGGTTATATCCACTTGCAAGTCAGGAAAACTACTTTTTTTGCGAATTATTTCTGAAGAGGCATTTTATTTAATAAATAAAAAAATAAATGCTTTTATATAATTTCATTTACTTTGTATTCCATTGATCGCTTAAAAGATCCCCTGAAGAACCTCCGAAAAAACTGTCTCAAATCCAAAAATCGAAAAATTATTATTATTGGGTGTATGCTTAAGCTAAAGTCAATATTGCTGTGCTGCCTAATCCTAAAATTCCCAGAAAGAGCCCACATTACAACTCCGTGAATTTAATTTAAATTTCCTTAAAGGCAATCATCTTTGCTTGAAATTACAAAGATCTGAATTTAATTCCCTATGCCCTAAGTTTCGAACCATCCGTGAAGATGCTCACACGTCAGCGGTACTTTTGCATCACTGGCAGGTATAAGAGCAGAGAAAAGTTGACGGTGGCCCAGTTATCTGAGCGATGAGGTGCGGGCCTCAAGCTTTAAGACCTACAACATCTATCGAATAAATATTAAAGTATTTGCTTGAATTTTCGACCCTAATTTCGTAGGTACTTGTATATTGAAAGTAGAAAACTCAAATTAACTTTTGTTGCAACAAATTACGGAACTCTGCTACGGGTAGGCAACAAATACTGAACAGGTGCGATTGAACACTTCTAATGTGTTTCCAAAGTATTTGAAATGATATCGAAACACAACAACAAACTGCCACAAGATGTTTCAGTAATAGAAAAGAAATTGTGTTGAAGTGCTGTTTCCTCAAGCACGTTTGCAACAGCGCTACACTCACAAATTGACTGCTAAAATGCCACATCTGTATGTGAGAACGTGTTCCAGTGCCACTTTGCAGGTCCTCACATGCTTATAACGGTGCTAATCCATATGTTAACACATATTAACAACTTTTTCACACGCACACCGCCATTCCCTTTCTTATCCAGCGCTTCAACTTGTTTCAGTTTTTGCTTTTGTAATTTGCAGGCTTATTTCTCGAGTGTCCCGGCACGACGGCCATGTCTTTGCGCAGCACATTGGAACGCATCTCGTCGCCGATACATTCATTATCCATTTATGATTTCGATCGTTCGGTCACGTCTCTCTCGCAGGATGTCTTTCAACCAGGTGTCAATATAAGGCATTTGCAATTTTCACACTCACACTTGGAGACGCTAAAGGATAACAGTTTGCGGCATGTACGTGCAACATTGGAGTCGTTGAGCATTGTTAATGGAAAATTAACACAGGTATGTTACCAACCACATACACCCACATATACATACATGCATAAGAACAACAATAACAACATAAGCAAAACATTAACGAACTTGGCAAAGTGTGTTGACTGTAGCCAAGCGGTTAGCCGACGAAGCAGTCGAGATATGTGTGTTTATGCACAGTGTTACCAGTTGCTTTAAATCGATCGTTTTTTTTTAATACAGCATATATCAACACGTGACCAAATCTTAATTATCTAAGATTGTTAATGTCTACTTATGCCTTCAAGAGGTAAAATGGAAATTTCGTTTTACTTGTGGAAAAATCATGCTGATTTTAATTCGTATATACTTATATATAATACTACAATACATAATAAATCATTGAAAACCACCATGATTTTTGAGAACTCTACTAAAATCTCAAATATTTGTAAAACCTAAGAAACTGTAAGCAATAACGCGCGTATATTCTCTTCCAAGGCGTCAATCGCCTCAGCCTTATTTGCTTAGACAAGCGACTTCACATAACCCCACAAAAAAAGAGTCCAGCGATGTTTTCTTCAGCACATCCTCTCATTCAGGTACGAAAAAGTCATTCATAATGGCTCCAATGACTGAAACATGGTTTTATTTTTGAGAAAATATGGATGAATGATTCCCTGTGCCCATAGGGCACATTAAACAGTGAGTCTGAACAATAGCTTGTGGATTATCATCCCTCCAAATGTGACAATTTTGTTTATTAACGTACCCATTTAACCAAAAGTGGGCTTCATCGCTGAACAAAATTTTCTTGTGAAAATCGGGATTGGTGGTAATCTCGTTTTGAGTCCATTCGCCGATCGTGCGTCACGCTTTATGGTCGTTCACCTTCAGTTCTTCCACGAGTTAAATTTTGTAAGCCCGCAAATCAAGATCCTTCCGCAAATTCTTTAATAAAGTGGATGGACACAGTTTCAATTATTACGCGCCGTGACGGATGGACTCATTCGTATATTCTGCGATACACTTCTCCACAGCAGCCAGTAATGACTGATTTCGAGATTTTTTAATTAAAACTGAGGCTAGTGAAAAGGGCTGATGACTTTCAAAATGTCGTTATATGGGAAGTGGGGGTGGTTGTATACCGATTTCGCTTATTTTTAAAAACAAAATCTCATTGAAGTCGAGCGCTTAGTTGATGATAGCAAAAATTGAATCAAAAAGACGGCAGTTACAAACTTATTTCCCATATAGGCATCTCATATATTGTTCGATATTAACGAAACAAATATAAGCGTAAAGAAACTAGATGAAAAAATTTACCAATTTCGTACCAAACGGCGATAACAGTTGCTACATATATATATTTTGAAATATAAATACATAGTTCTATATAAATATACTTCTCCATTTTGCATTTATACATTTCAATTTCAAGTATGTTGATAAGATACCTAAGAGTGGTTAGTGTGACTGACATACAATAAATGTATTTAAGTTTTGTGAACTACTTGCTTTGAAGAGTATCTTCGTATGGTAGGTGGACGTGGTTATGAACTGATTTTGTTCATTTACAGGGAAATGCATAATATTATATTACTAAGCTTGGTTGAGCGTCTCCAGTGATACGTGAAATACTTAAGTTTGGACAAGCAGATCCTGATGTAATGCTACTTTTTCAAAAAAAATAAAATTATAATATTAATAAACAAAATATTTATTTTAACTGACCCTTAACCTGAAGGTAAAATATTTTCTTGCCTAATTAAAGTTTATAGTGTATTTTTATAACATATCATTTTATAGACGCGGTAATAGTCTGATTCGCATTTTGATGCTTTTATTTTGCACCACAGTGCAACGTGTTTAGCATAACCATTGTCTGTCAGCCGTTGATTGTAACGAAGCGGGTAGTAAATTTAGTTATACAGCATATTTCAGGCGCACCAACACATGCCACACGCCGACGATATGTTGATGATATGTAAACTTCAGCAAATTTGTAATTGCATGTGTGTGTGCGCATTTTTCTTGCATTCACTGACAGTTATGCCAACAATTGTGCTAGCTTCTGCATGCGAATTGGCAAGCGTGTTGGTACACAGAGTCAAGTGCGAAGAAGCGCTCACAACTGGATTAGAGCAAACCGCCCGATCGCCTTACATTCGAATTGCTGCTTCGGTTGCACTCATCTTTGCTTAGCACTTTGCACACATCTTCATCAGCATCATCGCTTTGCTGTTTGGCTGTTTTGCTCAGCTGTCGTCCGCATAACGCATGAATGCGTCTGTCAGTTTCGTGCAATTTGTCTACCTGTCTGCCACTATGTCTGATGGCAGCCTAACTGTATGTTATTTTCTTCGACTGCTGTTAAATACGTGTCAGCAAATATTCGCCCGAAATTACGCATTCATGCATTTTGTGTTGGTTTCATGCGAAATGTACGTGCCGAATGGCAATCTTCCACTACAGCTAGCGGTATTATCCTTACACACATACTCGTACACACGTCCATGCACACGTGCGTTGTGGCAGTACGCTTTTGTGGCAGGCTCGTTTACGAGCATTTGCCAAATTGAAATTTCGTAAATAATATTCTGAAGGTGAATATTTAATCCATTGTATAATTTAGACAGAAAGGTCGTGTCTCATAATTATTTTTCTTAAGTAGAATTGTCTGTTTATAGACTGAGAGTTAAAGGATTAGATTGTAATATAATTGGATTTTATTTCACACTAGTGAATCTGGCAGTTTTGAAGTCCCGAACTTATTACTGAAGCAGGAAATGCAAAATACTTATATACAATATATGCCAGCCATATATATACGTGTATAAAAGTTTATATATCTAACTCGTGTAAAAGAGTTTTAACCAGAATATTTTATAACGGGTTTTAATTTTAGACGTGTGGTTTTCAATGAAACAATATTTTTTTCGGAGTTGGTTTTTTGACAGCTGTTACTTGACTCATACTCAGTTTGTTTGCCATTTCATATTGAACAGGCGTATCCCAGAACAGCGTTTACAAATCGTGCAAAATCGGGCCCAAAACGAGATGATCACCGATCCTGATTTTCCCAAGAAAACTTTTTTCAGCGATGAAGCTCTCTTTTGCTGGAATGATGATAATCCAAAAGCCACGGTTGAACCTCAAAAAGTCACTATTTGGAGTGCTGTATGATCAGAGGGAGTCATTGGTCCATATTTCTTCAAAAATGAAGCCGGTCATAATGTTACAGTCGGTGAAGAACGCTATGGAGCCATAATTATATAATGACTTCTTCGGTCCAGCGTGGGCTGATCTTGACGTGGACGACCTTTGGTTCCAACAAGACGGCGCTACATGTCGTACAACCAACGAAACTATCAATTTCTTAAAGAAAATTTTTTCTCACGTCGTGGGCCTGTATCTTGGCCCCCATGCGATTTAACATGGTTGGAGTATTTTTTTTATGTTGTTATGTGAAATCGCTTGTGTTCGCAGATAAGCCCGAGACGATTGACGCCTTGGAAATAACCATTGGCGTGTTATTGCTGACATGCGGCCCAATTGCTGCAAAAAGTGGTCGAAAATTGGCCCTGTCGGCTGGAATTTATTCAAGCTAGCCACGGCGGTTACTGGCTCGAAATCATTTCAAAAATATAAAGGCAAACTCTTATATTTCTATTACATATTCCAAAACATTCGTGAATGTTAAAAAAAATTTTTTTAGGTCCTTACGCAATTTTGTATCTGCATAAGTTTGCTTTCCTAAATACATCATATAGCAACTCTATTCCAAAGTATGCCCAAATTAAAAGCTCTTCGAAATATTTCTTGAAGGTCTTCTCAAACGAGTTACCATTACCATAAATTGTTTTTATTTTAGATATATGGTACAGTAAGACCTCGTTTAACGCTGTTTCGTTTAGCGCTGCCTCGGTTTAGTGCAAATTATGTAGATTAGATGATTTCTTGACAAAAAGGCAGAAACTTGAATCTTATTTGTTTTTATAAATATATACGGTTATATCGTTTAAAAAAGCAAATAAGCTCCATTCCTAACTTGAGTAAGTCGTCGTATTCAATGCACAATCAAATTCAGCCATATGGTCATGAATAGCAATCTTATGTTCGTATCTGTTGTGATAGCTGAGCTGTTCGGATGTTCGGAAAAGTAAGTTACGGAGTTGATTTTACCAAATAATACTGCTATTTTATGTGTGATCGTATATACACACGTGTTCCTATTAACCAGCCTTTGTACCTTATGACTACTACCGACACTGATGGCGCCTATGCTTTTTCTCAGCTTAATATTATGCCTCTTCTTTTCCCACTTGGATGAATCTTATAAAAATGATAAATCAATCGCTTAGTGATGATTAGAAGGTTTCTGCAAACAGTTTTCGCTGTTTTACTTCTTTAGAGATTCCAAAAATTTTTGCAACTTGACGGAATTGAATTTTAAACATTTGGTACAAAGCATATATCACCTTTTGCTTTCATCAGAATTCTTTTCGGAAATTGCGTCGTTAAATCCAATCAATTCACAATCCACATAACTCACATATAAAACTTACCCATATTATATGCATTTGGTGTACATATATACAAAAATTACTCAATGAAAATAAGACTATGTTATACTCTTTTGAAAAACTTTGAACCAATCTTTGCGCACAAAAATCTCAACACTGAACACTTCTTACTAAACAACAAGCGCCAAATCTCCAGAATGCTATTAAATTCATAAAAAAGCGTGCAAAGCACCAAAGCGCAACTTAATTAAGCTTTCAATGTGGCAAGCCAGTATCTATGTAGACAGAGGGGGTGAAGTGGGCAATAGCAGAAAGTAGACAGCACAAATATGCCACTAAACAGCCTTAGAAATATTGTTTTCTACGTCATTAACTTTCAAATATACGCAGAAACCACAGAATCTGTTTTGAGGGTGCGTTGTTGTTGCTTTTATTATCGGCAATAGGCATGCCGAAAGAAGCAGCAGTAACGCTAAGAGGAGTAAGACGGAACATTGAATGTCTGCACCAAAAGAAAGGATTCAAAAGTGAGCCTTTTTGGAATCTTAAATTTGTAAACGCACACATTCACATGCATGTGTGTTTGTGTGTGAATGCAAACATCGGTAAGGCAAAATTATGCAGGCGTAGGTGCTGAAATAAAATAATTTACACTTTTGCCATTACGAAGAGGCGAAGAAAGCGAAAAAAGCCGAAATAATAAAGGCTATAGCTCGGTAAAGTGTAGCACCAACATAATAAAAGTCAAATGATCGCATTTAGAATGTGGAGTGCCACAAGCGCACTGCTGCTAACCCCGTTCCGAACACATGTCGACACAGCAATAAAACTCGCAAAAGCAAAAGTGTACCACATAAAAGCTTTAAATCAAGTCCAATTACGCGAATTTCCAGTTCATTTCCTTTACCGAATTGTTTGCAGCGTTTGTTTTTTATTGAGCGCACATTTGAATCGACCAAAAATTAGGTTACGTATACGCCACGACTGCACGGAGTAGAATACGTGAGCGTGATAAAGGAGCGAATAGGCAAAGTTAATAACCGGCAGGAATGTATTGTCTTACGAGTACATAAGTATTGTGACTTCGGAAGAATATGAGTGTCTTAAAACAAAATTTGGTGGGCTCATATACATACTATCTACATATTTATATTTACGTACAAGCAGCAAATAAATTTTAACTATCTGAAATATATAAACAGCGACTTCCGTTTGCTTTAAGAAAGTATTTAATACTTGCTATGAAATTATGATTCATGCCACTTATTTAAAAATATCATAACATAACCTATGGATTATGGTAGTTAAAAATATCAATAACAACACAACAATAACAGGGTTGTAAATAATGGGTTAAAAAGACTACTTCGACTGCACCAAGTGTACATTTCTAATAGCATAAAAGGATATAAAAAGACCTTCGTATTGATTATGAGCGTTCAGTTTGTATGGCAGTTTCATGCTATAGTGGTCCGATGTCGACGGTTCCGATCGAGCATGGTCAGAGTATATTCATTTTCAAATTTCTCACCCTAAATACCGGATTGAAAAATTGACAATGAAAATTTCAACCAATTTAGTGGTTATATCTTGCAAACCGCTTAGGTTAAATCAACCAAGCTTGCTAACAAGAAGTCTTTTCAGCTCTCTTCTCTTCATACTCTGTAAAAATGGGTAAAATCAGATAATAACCACGCCCACTTTCCATATAAAAGTTTTGTTGAAAACTACTAAGAGAGCGATAACTCACAGAATAAATGAGCCATAACATAAAATTTCGCTGCCAAAATGGTTATAGGGAAATGGTCGTGGCACAGCCAGTGTAGGGTTACCCAAATATTCGTATTATAAACTAAATTGGCGAAAGTCTATGAAAACCACGCCTACTTCCCATATAACAAATTTTGAAATTCCATCTGATTTTTTCACTTTACAGTATATAAACCAAACATCAATTAAGTTATCACCATGGGTAAAATATGGTCAATACTTCTCTTAGCCCCCATATACCTAGTATAAATATTTTCGAGCTTAAGGTTGACTCACTGTCGCGTCTATTGGTCAGTATGTAAAAAATCATAATGAAGTTTAGAAAAAAAGCAGGGAATATTTCTTAAAAACCCTAATTATTATATCGCAAAACGGATTATCACATGACTATCGCAAGCTATCCTGTCTGAATCGCAGCTGGATTTTAATTCTTCTCCGTAGAGATTTTCTTAAGCACTATTAGTATCTTGACACTAAAAAAGAGGGGGGAAGTTTTCAACAGAAAATTGCTGAGCAGGAGAATGCTCAATGCAGAGAAAAGATTTCATCTTATCTTCGAATGCGGCTGGTAGAGGGTTAAAAAATTATAAAATACAAGAAAAAAGTTAAGTTCGGTTGCACCGAAGACATAATACCCTTTACAATTAAAAAAATGTTCATTCAAGAACTTGATTTTGATCGATAAATTTGAATGACAGCTATATCCTATCGCTTTCCGATCTGCAGAAACTATCCGAAGACTGTACCGTTGTCTTGAGCAATAGCCTATGTTAAATTTTGTGAAGATATCTCGTTAAACACAAAATTTTTCCATACTAGGATTGGATTTTAATCGTTTAATTTGTATTGTAGCTAAATGCTGTAGTAGTCCGATCTGAACAGTTTATTCGTTGCCTTGGCTAATAATACCTGCCAAATTTTGTGAAGATATATACACAAATAAAAAAAGTTTTCCATACAAGAACTTGATTTGGATTGTTCAGTTTTTATGACAGCTATATGCAATAGTGGTCCGATATCGCCGTTTACGACAAATGATCGCTTGGAAAGAAAATCATATGTGCAAAATTTCAGATCGAATTCTCAAAAATAAAGGGGCTAGGGACTCCGAAGTTTTCTCCTGGGTGTTGTTAGCTTCGTGGCAACTTTAATCAACCCTGTTTAGGGTATAAAAACAACCTAAGAAAAAGCGGAAACTGGGCTTAAAAATCATATTCGGAATATATATTTTTTCATATTCACTTTCCTTTTATCAAATATTAGGTCGCACGTTTCAAAATATCTGCTGACTGAATGCGATAATAATAGTATTTTCTGTGAATTTTCACATTTTCGTGTATAAATAGCAGCAAGAAACTATACATAATTTTATTCGACAGTCTTCTTTATTACAAAAATTTTTTTGAATTTTAAATTACTTCAAGGAGAGAACGCCATGCCTAATAAAAATACTGTGCTCCTTTGTAAGTATGAAATAAGTTGTGTTATATTTTTTAACTAAGCCGGGGCTTTCTAGTTATAGTGACTACTTTTATTTTTGCATCATTGTTGACGCAAACACATTGTGCTGAGTTAAAATATTTCTCTGGCAATGAACAAGAGTCTTTGGTCCATCTGCGACTAGTAAGGCAAGGATCACTGCCGATCCCGAGACCAGCATTTCAAGGTAATGCGCCTCATCCAAGACCAGCCAGGCAAGGATCACGACCGCCTACCCGGCCAGCCAGCCTGCCAGTTGAAACAAGACTATCTGGTTTAGGGCAATGCTAAACGCCAGCGCTAAAATCTAAGCAAAGTTCCGCACCATATTTTCGAAAAAAGGACAACTTTTTGGTTACTAATGGTACATCATTTAATAATAGGAGTATCATCATCATCATTTAATAATAAAGTAGTTAGAAATAACTAACAATAATAGTTTTACTTCGAGGAATGAAAAAAAGTCTAAACGTAGAATTCGCGGTATTTACCATATAAAATAAAAGCTTTAATATGTTTTTAGCTTATAGAATTCTGCTGATTTTCGTTTTTTAATGTTTACCAATGAAACATGAAAGTCTTCTTAATAACGGATGCAATTTTTTACTTCTTAATTATAAAAAGAAACCATAACAAAACATCTGTAAGTAGGCGCCACACAAACTTGTCTGCTATTATTACCATAATTGTTATTGCTATTGTTTGTGGACCGGTATATTACATTTCAGCTAAAACAAAATAATATAATAAATAATTCTTAATATGAAAACAATATTCATTACACAAACAATGGCTGCTTGCCTATAGTAAAGAAAAATTGGTATACTGGAAGACTCTATATGGGTATTCTCTCGTAAAAGTATTATGGCAAAGTCGAACTATAAAACTACAGCCGAAGCTACGATCAGATACCAGTTCAGCTTTAACTTCCCGGTAGCGATATTTCCAGCATTATGTCCAGAAATTTATTTATGCTCCGTAAGTTCCTCTTTTGTCTCGTATCAAATAAATTTCTCAGTCCAAGATTTATATTTTAGTCTTTGGCACTTCACTGTTAGTATCCAGTTTTTTGATGACTAATGCTCAGTTCAATGTGTCAAAAAATGTGCTACCAGTAAGTTTAAAACCGATAATACCGAGACCAAGTATACCAGCACGAAGACCAATACCAACCAGCAGACCCAGGCCCCCAACAAGAATACCTAGTCTACCACCGATTAGGCAACCAAGTCCACCAACGAGAAGACCAAATCCGCCAACGTTGAGACCAACACCACCAACTAGACGACCAACTTGGACAGTAACTATAACCGTAACTAGAACACCAAGAATGATAACACGGGCCTTATGTCGTCACTGTTCTAAGTCATCAAAATGTAGAGCTGCCGGTCCATCTCTATGCGTGTGTAGTCGAAATAAGAAGCTCTGTCGTCGAGTGGCCAATAGATGCACTTTGCGGAAGCTCAATTGTCAAGCGAAGCCACGTAACAGTAAGTACAAACCAAAAACAAGTTGATATTAAAAGATTTCATGAGTTTTTATAACTGTTTCTTCTACAGAATGGGGTATCACGCAACAGAAGCGTTGTGCTAAGCTGAAAGTAGGCGCAAAGGCAGCAAAATGTAAAGATTAGTGAAGATAAGATATAATTTAGAGCCTCTACAGTCATTATGTATCAATATACTATATAAATACAATAACAATAAATCGATTTAAATTCTTTTAAAATGTTATATGCTTCAAATTGTCGTCGAAAATATGGTTTCTATATAAATATTCAAAAAACTTGACAATTTATCTGGAATCGCGGTGTTTGTCTCGCAATTTTTCGACGAGCATTGTATTTTACAGATAGCTTTTCGATATTAAAAAATAATTCAAAGGTTTTTTAGTATTATGTTTTCAATCCACGAGAAACAATTGGTTTATTCATACTTTCTGATCCACTAACTTCCACGATTATGAGCCACTGATTTATCACATATATCGAAAACCAAATTCACGCACTCGAAAATGCCCTCCTCTCAAAAGATATTAAGTAAAGTGGGTGCGACTATATTTTGTGTTAAATGTGAAAGTTTCAATACATATATATAAAACACAGTTGGAAACTGGAAAAGTCGGACACCGACCCATACCTTATTCTCAAATAAAACAACCTTAATAATACACAACTTATTGGACTTACAAGAGACAAGCAATAAATTGAAATGAATCTCTACAACATGGGTTTAGTTGCTTTTGATATACTTTCAAAAGATTGTTCTAATATGAAGCTCTCTTCGTGCAAAGTTCATATCCTTACTATTTGTCTAAGACATTACTATACAGTCTTTCTTCACAGGAGAACTGTAATTTGTTATTTTAGTTTGGAGATTGTTAATCTTCAGCTTCCTCTCCTCGTGTGTTCTAGTAGTTGTGGGGATTCTTAACAGGCCATTGTCCTATCGGCGTCTATACCGTAAGGTTGAGAAACTTTCGCACACCATCTGCAGAAGTATGGAAGAAGACTCCTTCTTGATTGTCCGCGTTTGTGTTTTTCAATCATAGGTAATATATATATTTATAGGCTGTCACACTAGGCGTGCTCCTAAACGAAACTCGAACGACGAATACGGATATTTTTAGGAAGATGAGCCGTACGATGATCTGACATTAGAGAAAGAAACACCGGCTTCGCTGGCTTAGTCATGTCGTCCGAAAGGACGAAAGCACTCCAGCTTTCAAAGTGTTCAATGCTGTACCGCTGGTGGCAGCAAGGAACGGAAATACTCCACCCGTTCGAAAGATTGTAGAGTCCTCGCACTGCGAGTAAAAGAAATGAATGGCGCGCCATTGTTGATTAGGCTATAATCGCGTAAGTGGCTCTTGCGCCAATGTAGTAGTAGTAATGTGAACAAAATTTAAATTTAAGTTTCGAAATTACGTCTTTGAAAACGGACTTTTGAGCTACAAGCCATCGTTAGAAAACAAAACATTACATAAAACAAATTTCAATATTAAAATATTTTGTTTTATTAAATTTGGCTTATCAACTTTCAATCCTTAAACATTTTGTCTCCCATGCAATAGTGCTTGAAGCTGTTGTAAAATAGTAAACAATAAAATATTGTTTAGTAAATATTCATATTTGTAATTAATTTTATTTGTGTAAAACAAAGCTGTCTTATTACATAATGGTACCGATAAACGAAGCAAAAGAGAAATGTCTGCCAGACATCCTATCACTAAAGGCGTTAATTTAATCGAAAAATTAAAACAAGTGTTAAAACAAAATCATTTGTTACTGGAGATCTGTTCAAGTATATAAATCGTAGGAATCGTTAGTATACTCGACTCAATCAGAAGCACAGCAGTTCGAAAATTGGAAAAAACATGGCCAGGAATTTATTTACGCCGTAAGTTCATAATAATTTAACCAGATACCTTAAAAATATGTATATTCCATTACAGTTTTCGGAGCTACGATATTAGTCGCCCAAATGATCTCAAGCTCAGCCTGATCCAGCAGTCCAGGTGCCACAAGGAGACCAACACGACCCACTTGGCGACCAACACCACCTACTTGGCGACCCACACCACCCACTCGGCGACCAACACCACCTACTTGGCGACCTACACACCCACTAGGCGACCTACATCACCTACTTGGCGACCAACTAGGCCAACTAGGCCAACTAGAGCCAACTAGACCAACTAGGCCAACATATCCAACCTGGAGGACTAGTACAGAGGTCCCAGACCAGCAAGAGCGGTAATAACTATCGAACCACCACGTAAGCTTGTCAGGTGTACAAGCGCTGGTCCATCATGTGTGCGTAGCCGAAATGGAAAACTTTGTCGTCGCGTAGCTAACCAGTGCACTTTGATAACCTTAACTGTCAAACAAAGCCACGCAACAGTAAGTACCGCTGGATATTATGTACATACATTCTAACATTATATTTATTAACGTATTGTCTTCTTATAACTATCTAGATTGGGCCGTTACTGATCTGAGGGATGTGAAGCTTAAGGTGGGCCAACGTCCGGTTAACTGCAATGACCTTTAAGAAAACGAGTGTCGAACGATGAAGCATTAAATATTTGGAACCGTTTAATAAATTTATAAAGTATTGGAAATTTATAAGATTTAGAGACATTTGTTTAAATAAGTCAGAAAATTATTCTTTCAAAATAATATCTATGTTATTTTACTCTTGTTTAGAGGTGGCGTAACCTCTAATCTACATTATTGGTATAACCGAGTTTAGTGAAATGTCCCTAACTTGGAGGGGAGGGTATAAATATAGTTTTATATCAAAAACAAGAAAGAAACCACTTTATATTGGATATTTTCATTTAATTTGGGTTTTAATAATTTATTTTGAATATTTTGAAGATATGGATCGTCTTATGGGTCACTGCAAAATCATGTCTTTGTTTGCCTTTATATTATTTTTCAGGAACTCGGTATAGTGATGATTTAGCTATAGTTTGCCTTGATTCAAAGCTCTGAAGATTAATGGCGTTACTTTGATTTAAATAAACCTATAAAGAGAAGTCAACGACCATATCTGCTATACATAATCTGCCATAAGATCACCTCCGATTGGCTATTTTTATTTGTAGAGCAATCGTGACGTATTGACCAAACCAAAAGATCAGTAACTAAAGTGTTGCTATTTTTGCCTTTCTCTTAGAAACGATTTCTAGACGTCTAACCAACGCAATCGTTAGAAAATGTTAGTTTCGACTTTCCGATGCAACGATGATGTATATATATTGTTCATATATTATATATTTTAAAAGTTGTATGGGAATGTTCATTAAAAATTGTCATTTGAGTCACTCACAATAGAAAATTTCTAGAAAGATTCGTAAAATAAAGTTGGTGACTACATGCGGTTATAACACATTAAAGAGGTATCCATATTTTCTTGAATCAAATTCAACTTCATTGTAATGCAGTTTAAAAGCAAATCGAGAAGGTCGATATACTAATATTCGGAGAAAATGTTTCGTTTAGCATAATGTTTTCTCGTCCACATACGAGTATGTATCTCGTGGTAGATGTAGGTGAGTAGAACTGGTGGAGAAGCTTTTACTTTTCCTGATGGGTCAAAGCCTAGGGGAAGGTTGTACAGGCGATATTGTCTCAGAACTATCATCATTAGTCTTAGGTTCTTGATCACTGCAGCGTTTTCAAGCCGAGGTTGCAGCCATTAAGGTAGTAGCAGATGTATCTCCGTGGTCCAGCCTTTTCAAAGAAGTGAAGTTAATCTTCAGCTCACTAACCGTGTGTTTATGTCTTGTTTAGAAATGCCTAGTCACTATCAACGGCATTGATCCTTCGTGATAAGACTAGAATGGTTGGAATCGCAAGGGCTGCAAAGCTGATGAGCTTGCAAGAAAAGACAACTTAGCCGCGATTCCAATAGAGTGGAACGTCGGAGTTCCGTTCTATTCGCGCGTTTTATACTGCATAGTTGGGCTTCGTGGAGATTGGTCAGCGCTGGGCTTCCAATACTCTTGCCAGCCTTTTCTAGTTCTATGTGGTCATTGTCTTCAGTGTCGACGGGTAGCTTTAAAATCTTACTGGATGTTAGTCGTAGAAGCTGTTTAGAAGTGACGCGGTAGAAATATCTCAGCACTTTTTGACTGTCCCAACTTTGTGTGATCAAAGTTTAAACATCTGGAGCTGGTGTTCGAGCGCTTTAACGAGTCGACATAAGATGTGATTAGAGAGTTCTATTGTCTTCACAAAGGACTGTAGAAGTCCGACCTTGAAAATCGCCCATTGAACCATACCTAACCTATAATGTGATAGTGATTCATACCTTCTGAAGCTAATAGGATGAAGAGTTCTGTTGATGCGCCTATCCATACTTTCTTTAACATTTTCATTTCGTAACTATGGAAGTCCATTTAGCTGAACAAAATTAATTGCAAACCAACAATAACGTTATCTGTGAATTTAGTACAATAGGGATGTAGGTTACGTTGAGTTGGGTATATTTGATTATAGCTGTTGCTAGATTGATTTATACAATTGCTTGTTCCATCGTCACAGTCTAAATTATGTTACTCATGAAAATATCTGCCGATTTCCTATTTGTTTGGCATGTACTTGCTTGTTCAAATCAACATTCTCCAGCTGAAGGAAAATTTTTGTTCATTATTATAGCATATAACTTTTAAATTTAACATCGTAATTGTGGAAGACTTTTTAATTTAGTTGAAATTAATCAGACTTTTCTTCTGAAACATATATATAAAGAGCATTGAACTTTTAAGAATTGGTTAAATATATGGGGAAATTATATTAAAGCTCAGCAAATATTCTTTTTCGGTGTAAATATTATATTGCTTAAAGAAATGCAAAGAAGACAAATATGTAAATAATATTAAAAGTTACCGCATAGACATAATTTTGTTAAGAATTATTAACTAATTCATGAAACCTTTCTTGGAAGTGTCTTTAATTATAAAAATATTTATAAATATAGCAGCACTTATAAAATGAGTGGAGAAGGTTGTTGAATAAATAGTAGCCAACTGTGGCATAGTGTATGACCAGTGAAAATTTCCACAAATCTGAGTATCTTCAAAATGCGTAAATCTATTTTAGTTTTAGGTGAGTAGAAATATATATTTTCCTAGTCTTATATTTTTATCTAACATTTAT